GCGGACAGCACATCCTTCGCCCGTGCCACTTCTCGCCACCCCCATTGGCCCGGGACGGTGAACTGCGGCGAGTGGGGGCCACAATCAGCCGAACCTGCCACGTCAGCAGGTAAATAAACTGGCCCGGCCCGCCAGGGTGCTTACCCTGGTGGGCCGCATGCCAAACGTTGCCAACCCCTGGCCTAATGATATCTTCACTGCCACAATTTTCTTGTTCAATTAAAAAAAAACATGTTTGGCTGGATTAGAGAGCCCCCAATCCCTTACTGCTTTGAGCTGATTGGCTTGAAAGAACCATAGAACATTTGGAATAGTTGGTGCATCCTCTTTCATGGGTCTGTACAAAATATCTGCACTCTCTCTTTTTCACCCTCTTTTTATGACCTTCTTTCAGACGCATTTAGCTGATGTAAGCAGTTTGAGGGGAGGGGAGAGGGGGGAGGTTGTTGGTTTTGTTTGTTTGTTTTACAAAAAGAACATGAACAAGAAAGTGTAAATATATAAACTAACAAAAGGACAAGAACATAGAAAGAACAGTTTATTGTGGATTACCACCATTTTTATTAGCGACAGTAAAAAGACAAAATCTTTCCACATTATTCAGTGGACTAAGGTTTTTCCATTTATAACCATAAGCATTTAGAAGGGGATCAAGTTGGGTTTAGTGAGGTTTTTTTCACCCAGCAAATCCAAGATAGCAAACAAAACTATCTCATATAAAAACAGGTCAATGAAATACAATCAACAGCTTGCTTTAAAGAAAAGACAAAGGAGCCACAGATTTATAACGCAGTTCACACGTTATTACACGCAACGCAAAAAATTATTTTCTATTAGAAAATTCTCCAGAAGCCCAGGATCAAGCTCCAGTAGAAATTAACATAGGAATAGAAAAAACACGCACGTTTAAAACTGGGTGAGTCAGCACTAAATTAAAATACGATGAGTTAACTCTCTTGGGAAAGAACAGAACTTAATCTACGTAAGAGACTGAAGTAGAAAACAGTGTTGCCCCTAGTTTAGTTCCTCTGAGTTTACCAGTTATCTACATTATTCTTAAATTTTCAAAAATACAACTTAGGAGCCTACAGCCCATTTCCCAGTGACTTAAGAGCCTACGTTTCAATGAGAGGCAATGATACGCCTAAGTATCTAAGTCACTTTTGAAAATGGAACAGACGTCCAGGTTATTAAGGGCTTTTGAAAATTGTAAACATTCGAAGTAATACTTTGAAAAGTGAAAAATGAAGACCAAAGCGATAACATCAGGAATCTCACCGAGTTTCACTGGGTGGATACTGGTCGAGGCTAACAGAAAGCCAATTTGATCATCATGTGATTATTTATGGGGAATGAAACCAGAGAATTACAGTCAACTTCACTGCTTTGAGTCTCAAAGTTGTGTGTCAGTTAGCTAAAATAAGGCCACAAATCCAAAACTAACACATCTCCTTTATTTACTCCTTTTACATGATGCAGAGCCCAATCTTAATCACACTGAAATCAAAGGGAGGGGTTGCTACTGACTTCAGTAGAAACAAAACCACATACAAATGTAATGCCAGAAGAAAAACTGAGAACCAAGGAGTGATTTAATTAA